AACCCCACCCTACAGTGTCCCGCCCTGTCCTACCCCCCCGTATCGAACCGAACCGGGCCCACCAATAGACCATATCAGTTTCGGTGACAAGGGGAAGAAAAGAGTAACCGAAACAGGTAACAGTTGGGTGAGGGGCGAAGAGGGACGGAGGTTTGGGGGGCTATTAAAACACCCAGAAGACCGTTTAGTCCAGGGAAACAAACTCAAAACCGATGAAATTTTAGCTCTAGAGACCAAAGTTTATCCGTGGCGATGAAAAAATTTAGTCTAGCTGACTTAATTTGATTGGTGAGCCCATATTTAGTTAAAAAATTGGTTACTAAAATTTAGTCGGTTTTAGGAACTATATTTTGTTTCTTACGACTCTGATTTACTTGTATCAACTGAATGGTTCTCTGGGTGAAGGCAGTGCTCTTCCGGTTCGTCATTCATTTCTTCTTCTTATCACCTAACCTGAAACGGTCTATTACTGGATCAGCAGGGCAGCTGGCTCGTCAGCAGGGCAGGTTCCCCATTGTGATGGTATCGTCCGGCCGGCCGGCTACCGCAGCTCGGCTCGACTCCGACCGGAAGCGCCGCAGTAACTTGCCCCATCTCTTCCTGCCGCGCTCAGGCTCAGCCACACTGCAGCGCCTGCAGCTGCACTGAAGCGCCTGCAGCTGCACTGAAGCGCCTGCAGCTGCACTGCAGCGCCTGCAGCTGCACTCGGCTGGCTCAGCCCGCGGCCCACGCCGTTATCCCTAGAAGTACCTCAATGCCGCGGCTTGTCCTTCGCCGAGGTTCTCCTCGCCCCGGGGGAGCTGCTCGGCTGCACTGCGGCACGATTGCAGCTGCACTCAGCCGCAGCTCAGCCGCACTGCAGCGCAGTGTCTGCAGCTGCGCTGCACTCAGCTGGCTCAGCCGCGCGGCCTGCGTTGTCGCTAGTACCACAATGCCGCCGCGTCCTTCGCCGATGTTCTCCTCGCCCCTTATAGCATTCCCGGAGCAACGCTCTGCATCACTGCAGCGCGAGCGCGACTGTAGCTGCAGCCGCAGCTCATCCTCTCTGCGCCGGCTGCAGCTGCACGTTTGAAGTAGTTTCAAGCCTACCCTATCGTAGACGATAACAAGAACAGGAAATGGAAAACATGTTCGTTATGTTTAATCTAGGTGTCGACTGCTAGATAGAAGGTAGGTACGAACATCTCCTCTCTCTCCCTCTCTCTCCGACTCCGACAACCACTCTCCTCCCTCTCTACTCCTCTCGCTTTCAAGGCTCATATGCCCCCCTCCTTTCAGCAAAGATGCGGGGAAGGGTAGGGAAGTGGTGGGGAGAGCTCATCACTTTCGGGCCCGAATATTGGATTCCGCGAAGAAGCTCGGCGTTGGCCTGAAGCACCCGCGCACCTGATGGTGCTCGACTCGAGGGCCCTCGAGGTCGTCGACAGGGAGAGTGGAGCACGTGACACCTGGCCGCTGGTCGGGCGGGAGGGCCGGGGGCAATTCAGTTAGTCGGGCCGATATCGCCGGTGTACTGATTGACTGGCCTACAATGTTGCCAGATAAAGTAGAGTAGGCAAATTACCCACGCATGCGCACAGGTGTTCCTGGGCAACCCACCCCATGCACGGGCAGCTCTCTGGAATTCTGCCTGGCCAATGCCTGGCGATCGCCTGCTACCGCCAGGACATCGCCCAGCCCAGCCATCGCCCACATAGCCGACGCCTAGGCATCATTGGGAATCGCCCGCGCCCCGCCCTGCCCATCGTCTATGACCGCCTGGCCAGAGACGCACGCCCAACGCCCACCCGTGCCGGCGCCGCGGCCGCGAATAGGCAGTTGACCCGCTTGCTCATCCGTCACGTCCCGGCCATGACCGGTACTGTCATGCAACGGACTCGGTCATGAGAGGCAATCGCATGCGGCTGCGGCACGGCGAGATCCGATCATGCCCGCATTCAAATAGTGTGAAGCAGATTCACCCGGGGCCCGTCTCAGTGATACATATCTTGGATGTGGATCGATCTTCATTTGCACATTCGGCCCTTGCTCGGCTCCATCCGACCTCGACCCTATAGCTTTCCCTCCCACTCTTTTGTTTTGAATCACATGAATCGGTAACAGTGTCGGCATAATTCAAGACCCACTTTGGTCATGCGGCTCCCTCCCCTCCCCTCGCCCACGTTCCAGTTCAGTCCGGTTTTCGCGCTCAATCCTGGACTTCCTAGGCGGGCCTCCTCGGTACCGGTCAGACACCGACCCTCTCTCATGCCTGTCTGTGGCAGGGCTTGTTCTCCCGGCCGGGGGCAGGGGCACCGAGAAAAGCAAGGCTCTCTAGGCGCCTGCTTGGGCCTGGCCTGCGTGCTCACAGGCGTCCCATTCGTAGTGCGGGTTTGTACCCACGTACCACTTGCTGCTGTAATAGGCAGCCGCCTCCTCCCCCCC